GATTTTTCAAACTGCTGAATTCTAGTTTCAATGCAAGCGCTTAAAAACAAAAGATAGTAAATGTATTTTTTTATTATTTGAATGCAATTCTAAAGAAAGTACCAAAGAATTATACGGCACCGATCAATAACATTATTATTTCATTTTGCAACAAATAATACAGTATATTTGTTGCTAACATGAAATAAGCACAATTTATGTACATATACAAGTATAGTAAAAAATGATTCCTAAAACAAGTAACAGATCAAATATTTTTTAAATAAAACACCTTTAACGATTTAAAACGCGATATATATTAGTTAAACTTATTTGAAACATATTTTAACTACGGCCCGAAGTTTGGCACGGCTTTGCAGCAGCCGTGATCGTGGGGGATAATTTTAGCGTTCCGTATCGTTAAATACTACAACAGCTTAAATTTAAACTATGGATGTTCAAAAAAAGCAGTAAAAGACAACTTTGGACGACCTTATAGATATTGATACGGAACCCGACTTTCCCGTTTTTAACTTGCATACGGCCCGTTGTTAAGTTTTCCAATCATCCATTTCAACAAGCTCTCAAACAGCGTACGAGTGTGTCTACCACCAATGTAAATTCACTTGAACCTGATTTTCAACGATTTTATTTAATGCTATTTGGTCCGTCATGCCAAGCATATTTGCATGTTCATAGTTCAGCTTATATTAGCGTGATATGGGACTGAAAATATGATTCATCCGGTTTATTTAGAGAAACATTAACAAAGGACATGGTTACTTCAGTTTCAAGAATTGTGTTCTTCATAAAAATTCGTGTTTCGAATTTGCAATAACAAGTAAAAACATTCAAAAGCAATTGAAACCTGTAAAAAAATATGTATAAATAAAACACTTTAACGGTTTACTCCCCGTAAAACGTCTGCAAAGCATCCGAAACGACGGCAAATAAGTTTAGCTAAAGTATCACGTTTAAACCGTAAGGCCGTTTTATTTAAGTTAAAAAAATCATTTTCAAAAAAGCAATTTAACTTAATATATCTGCTTTTTAACAGCATGGAACCCTCTGATCGTGGCTACGAATTTTTGTACCTTAGTAAGCCATGAAAATCATTCGAAAACATTTAACCTAATATTTAAACTAATTCTATACTAATATATAAAGCTGAAGGGTTTGTATGTTTGGATGCGCTATCTCGGAAACTACGGATTCGAATTGAAAAAAATATTTTTGTGTTCGTTACAGCATTTATCGAGGAAGGCTATAGAAGTTGCCCTGTGACTTGTATTAACAAGCGAAAATACAGCGACAAATGTGAAAATTATTCAACATTATGGGTTTCCAAGGCGTACGAAGGTCTGGGTATTTGATTCAGAAATACCCAAGAAATATGTATAGAAAGATGATTCCTCTTTAAATTATTTAAAAAAATGTCCGAGACTACCTTACCTACTACCTTATAAGATTAACTTGCAAGACGACGGGACGCGGCCGAAGTCGTGAATAACAGCTTAAGTTTATAAATCTGAAGGGGTTTGCAAAAACGAATTTCGATGCCCAAAATAACGAAATACGCGGACGAAGTCGCTGACACAGCTAGTTATACATATAAATATAACTTACTTAACTAATTCACTAAAATGTCACGCCCCGGGACTGATTCGAGAAATACTCTTTGATTATTTCCTTACACTTGTCCGCAGTTAAAAATACTACAAACACAACACGATAACTTATACATAATGCAAGACTTAACCTACGTCAATTATAAATATACGCTTAGTTGTAACTTAGTATGCATTAGATATTTAACATATACAAAATACGCTTTGAATAGCCAAGATACCATTAACATACAATGTAATGTCACTTGATGTAATTAATGATTTTATCACAAACTTGTTACGCTATGAAGCATGAATAAAACTCAACTGGGAATATCCATCTGAAGGATGGTATAATTGTTAATTTGCATACTATTATTTGGGTGATATAAGCTTTCTGCTTTGTAACTCCTTTTGTGATTTAACATACGTAATTAGGACAATAAAATCAATGACACAGGCAAGCGTCGAACCGTAACCACAGTGTATTGTGGTCTCTTCAAATATAGCGAAAGTATAAACCCATATGGTTTATAGGTTCGCTAATCTCAGGAACTACTGTTCGAATTGAAAATTTATTTTTGTGTTGATTAGAACATTTTCCGAGAAAGGTTTAAGGCTACAACGATCGACGAATAGGAGCGACGAACGGTGGGAAATGTGGAAAAAACGAGGAAAAGTATTGTCTTTAAGGGATTATGTTAAATGCGCCGTGAAAAAACCAATGTATAAAAAAATGATTCCTCTAAATGATCTTAAAAATACATCTATCGTTTAAGATTAACTTACAAAAACGACAGGATGAATTTTGATAGCCAAAATGACTATTCTACGCGGACGAAGTCGTAGTATAAGTAAAGATAATTGAAAACAAATGAGATGCGAATCATTAATCACGCTAATATAACAGACCCGCTTAACATGTGAATTTTACATATATTAATAACATAGAATTGAAATAACTGATTTGAAATTCTAGCAACGAGTACATGTTTGAATTTCATCATAATTCACATAAATGAAAATGTGAGTTTGAACTGAAAATAAGTAATGAACTCGTTTAAGCTATTTCGTAGCTTAGTTTCAAAATAGCGGAGCTCCGGCGAAATAGTTGCTATAATTACGTTTTCATAACGATGGAAGTAAAAACTAAACAAAGTTTTCAAATTAATGTTCGTTTGTTTTTCTAACTCCACTTAGAATTTAATTGTTATAGGGCTAAGAGGGGTTCGATCAAAAACATATATGTATAAGTAAACTGTACCTTATTGTTGTACCGTAGTGTTGTAGTGTTGTACCTTGTATGTAGAGATCCAAGTAAGTAAATATTAATTAAACGCATTCACTAAATCGAGATTTGTAAATTATTTACTATTAGAGATTTTGTGACCAATAAAGACTTCATCCGGGTCTCTTTCTCTTCCTCTTCCTTCCCGAAGGATACGTTATTTTCTTATTCGACATTTCGTTATGTCTTATCCTGTGTATGTTAAAATTGAATGTACCTATAAATTCATTGACTACCCACTCGTTCTTGAGAAAAGTTATTCTGAAATTCAAATTTCGAACTTGAAACAGTCATACAGAAAACCCTCCAATATCAATAGCGTAACTTTATGATTGTATTGCATCAAGGCGGTCTTTGAAAAGGTAGTATACCAATTTATATTCGATCAAGTCGGAATATAATCGCCATTGTATAGAAGGTAGTTCTTACCTTTTATGGCGTCGTTTACGTGGGCATAATTGTCCCGATATTATTTTGTAAGGCTTTGATGGCTGTTCAAAGTAAATAACGTGTACAATTCAATTAGGTTATGTGGTATAGCAGATGCTTGTAAAATAATTGAGTTACGTATCCATATTTTAAGCGATCTAAAGGAGGCTGGTGATTTTAAGACTTAACATTTTTTTTTATCAATTACCAATAAAATAATAATGCTGTCATTTCATTAATCAAAGAGTTTTTTAATGTAACTGTAAATATTCTCAAAGTTTTTAATATTAATTTTATAATCAAATCCTAAATACTTATATTATTGTTTGATTACTTCTTATATAATTGTCTTATATACACGTATCAAAGTTACTATAGCGATAAGATCGCCTGTTGCACAACTTTTAGTTCGTTTTAAAAAATTGCGTATCTAACTAATAATCTTAAATTGAATTTGAAGATGAAAACTAACTAATCTTAAGAATTAAAACCAATTTTTATTCTTAAGATTAGTTGGTATTTAGAATACCGGTAACACTTATAATTTTTATATTTATCGCTTTTAGTATTGTATTTAGTATACTCGACTAATACACATTTAAATAAAATACTTTTAATGGTTTAAAACTCGAAATATATGAGTTAAATTTATTTACAATTTAATTTAACTAAACCCTGACGTTCCGGGGTCTTTGCAGCAGTCGTAGTGTATGTAAATGAGTCTAATTATTATATTTTGCGTTTTAAACCGTAAAAAGTGCTTTATTTCAATTTCTTTCACTTTGAAAAATGTTACTAACGGGTAAAATAGCGTACTTACCTAGGACCTACTAAATATAATATCAATTTGATGGGTCTGTTATTAAATTGTAATAACAGTATTTTACACATAGTTTTCGCATCCAACCAGGTGATTATTACATTAATACGTAAGCATTAACAACATAAAGGGATTACCGCGCAATCATTATCTTTTATCAGATTCCTGATAAAGCAGTGACGTCACTACGTGTCATTGATTACAGCATGATGCTATACAATATAGATAAATAAGGCCTTTTATTTGTTTTCAGTTAATGTTTTTGCCCGCGAAATAAATTATAACGAAAAGTATTGCGTAATTTTGTATATTTTATATATAACACAACATATATATACTAATATTATAAAGCTGTAGAGTTTGTTTGTTTGGACCACCTAATCTTAAGAAACGCTTGTTTAAATTAAAACATTCTTTATGTTATTAATACACCATTAATCGAGGAAGTCTTTAGGCTTTACTGTAACTATAACCTCACGCTGCCACCAATAAGAGTAGGAAAACAGAGGAAAAAACAAGGCAAGTTATTTATCTTTAAGGGGGTTCCCTTGTGCTGCGTAAACGGATAAAGAAATCAAAAGAATCTAAAAATGTCTTTCTTCGGTGTTATCTTTTAAGATTAACTCGTAACCGTTTTTACGGTAGGTAATCGACTTTGAAATTAATGCGTTATTACCAATAAATATTGCTTACAATTATAGCCAGTATATGTATATCTACATACACATGCGAGCTTATATATAATGTAAAAGTTTTTAGACCTTCAATTTAATAATAATTCTTTTGTGTAATCAATTTTACCTCATTATCACTTTAAATAAACGTTACAACATTAACAATAGAATTTACATTCTTTATGTTGTAGCAGTCTCAATCTTCAGAACGGTAGAGCTGAGATAGTAAATATAGGCAAAATATAAATATATTTTATAAAGAGTTTGGTTAAGCCCCTTGACCTTTTCTTTTATAGAAATCGGAGCATATTGGCTTTCTATTTAAGATCACCGTTTTGTGGTTTTCGAAATGTTAGTAACGAAGAAAAGAAAGCTATGAATATAAAGATTTTGCAAATCGACATTGTATAACATATTAATATTAATACATTATAACAATTTGTGGTCATTATAAATAACAAACCAGTAATGAATAATTCTAACCAAAGAAGGGGGGACACTATCGTGCCTAGTTTGAGTAAAATTGAACATATACTAATAACTATTGAAGTTATATCTAAAACCCATATTCGATTTCAATTGAACATTCGTCATAAGATTGTGACAAGAATAAACTTTACTCTTTTAAACGTATAAATTATAAGACGCTTGTATAAACATCAAAACGACATATTTTTCCAGGATTATTAATTTATAATTTTAAAAGTACACAGGAAATAATACACAGCTTCATCATAACCAAAAAAAACAAAAGCTGTGTTGGCTTTGATCGTTAAATCAGGCGAACGATTAGAATAATATTTGGAAAACCGATGTGATTTAAGAAATCCTTGATAATGGAAGCAACAAGTCCTCATACCTATAACATATGAGTATCCATCCAGCGTCAGGACGCATTTCCTTAGAGCCCCAGACACGGACCGATGTCTGGGACCTCTCGGGGCCCCGAGAGCCCTCCCACCACCAGGGTCGCTATGACACTTGTGCACAAGTTCTTTGTCATTAACATTGGTGTTGCCGTCGACAGAGCCCTGTCTGCCATCTAACAAAGCTCGCCGCATTGTCATATCATACGTTATCTTTGACAGCTAATAATACTTTTCACTCCACTATATTCTAGTCTTGGTCACTGTATGTCATTGTATTGTACACTTGTCACTTTTAATTTTATGTCACTATTACTCCACTTTATAATAAGCTGAAAACTAAGATGTACGGAATAGTTGGGACAATCAATTTTCTTTACAACCATGGACTCTTGACTATGTTTATCACTCATTGATTGAATATTTAAAGTAACACTAAGGAAATAATACTGTTATAATTTGATAAATTGAATAAAAAAAATAAGCTAAATATAATCTTCGTGAGCCTATATCACACTCATAAAACAAAAAACCCTGCAACGCATTTTAGCTACATGTGATTCACAGACTAAGACTCTATTTTAGGATCTATAACTATAGTTTTAAAAAAAAAAGGAAAGAATAATTAATATCAATAAGATGATAACACAAAATCTTTATTCAACGAGCTAGTGTATTGCTTACTTAATATCAAAGCAAATAGTTAATTTATATTCAAATGAACAATAAAAATTATGATAATGTTTTCATAATATGTTTTCCCTGCCGGTCTCTACAATGAGAGATAATTTATGCAAATGTGAATTTGTTTATTTCCTAATAGCAAATAGAAAAGCAATTTCTGCTCGATTTAATTAGATTTGTTCCGAAAGTTGCGAAGGGCGGTTGACAAAAGCATAAATTCGCGCCGCAATTTTCGCCTCGGCGCCGAAGAAATGAAAAGTCGTATTTGGGCCGATCCTAAGTAAACATAGTGTATTTTTACATTTCACTCCGACACTTAACAATCGCGACAATTGGAATGGCGTGAAATGAGTTTCGCCATGGACGAGAAATCTATTTCGACGGGAATTGTTTTTCCGCCATGGTAACGTGGATCTCATAAATGTGTGCGTCACGGGGGTGGGGGAAGCCATTAGTAAACATCGTGACGTTGTCCATTGGTCTATTCCGGATCGCGAACAACAGGTGTTTCCGAGCGAACTGTGTTAACTCAATTTTAAGGTACAGTGATTGGAATTGTTTTGATACCGAAAAAAATTTGAAAATTACTTTTAATGGAATTTTTCCTACATAAGTACATTTACGAGCCGCGTTGTTATGCCGTTCAGGGCGGCATGACAGCCATACGACCGATCCGCATGGAAGCCTGCGCGCGACTGCTTTGCCTTAACAGTTACCACATATTCCACAGGTAGCTAGCAGCTAAGCTCCTGATTAGAAGTGGTCACCAAGTTCCGAATTTGAAACCTCTTGGGAGTTCTTAGGCCTTGGAATCTGTAGACTGCGATGTAAGGATTTGCGATATCGGATTTATTCTAATGAGTAATAGTGATAAAGCAGTTCTACTAATTGTTAAAAGGTAATTCTTAGTAAGTATTTGTATAGATATATGTAACGATTTTTAGCATCATACCAAAACAAGACAGAAACGAACGTTATTCCCAGAATTAAGGGTGGAATAAATACCATCCTTCAAAAATGTTCTTAAAAGGGATTTGACCTACTTTTAAATAAAACACTTTAACGGTTTAAAACGCGATATATTAGTTAAACTTATTTGAAAATGATTTTAACTTCGGCCCGACGGTTCGGATGCTTTGCAGCAGCCGTGGTCACGGGGAGACTAAAGATGGAGGATGTCTATGACGTCAAAGTAAAAAATTGCTACGCTAGCGCCATCTGTGTCACGAAATTTAAATAAGCGAGTTGATATATTTAAAAGTGCGATTTAATGTTTAACAATAGTATTGCACTCATTACTATTTAACACTAATTTAAATTAACTTAAATACTTTCCACATTTTATTGCACATCATTTCATTATATAAATTGAAAATTATAGCTTGAAAAAAATAACCATGACGTGTAGAGCATGAAAAGATTAGAGCAAAAGCACAAAACACTGTGGATGCCGCTTCAAGTCCCACCCGTGTCATCAAATTTTTTACAATATAAAACAGATTTTTAATTTGAATACATCATTATAATCCGACGCGAGAGTAACTTTTAATAAACATTGTTTACTCAGATAGAAAATTTGTTCTTGACAAACTCTCGTAGAAATGAATAATTTAAATGCTTCTAACTCTTTCATTTAATAACTGGAAAGGAGAAGTGGATGACAAATAAGAATTATTAAATGAGATGCAATTAAATTGAAACAGTGTTTCTCTTTATTTAAATTTTAGATATTAAGGCAACAACAAAGCCCCTTTGAGTAATATGACAACGGAACTGGTAAACATTCTTATCTTTAAAATAATTGACATGGATGGATATACAAATCGAATTTCTTATAAAGTGGGAGACTATTTTGTAATGATAAGTATTGGCCCATAAAAATATTTCCACGGAATTCCAACCCTGGACTTGCCGCGCTTAAAGCATCAGTATCCAATGCATTTACTATTGAGCCACGGACACATAAACGCTTTTGTATAGTGAAAAATATATATTATGAGTGTGAAATTTAAGTTCTCAAATTCAGTATTGTCTGTACCTTACGCAAATAGTCACAATTAATTACAACACTTAACCGTTTTATGACACGTAATATATTAATAATTATTTTAACTACGGCTCGTCGTTTCGGAAGCTTTGCAACTGCCGTTGTCACCCCCCCCCCCTGACCACGACTGCCGTAAACCGAAAAAGGAGACCCTGAAATATTTGTGTGTCAATTTCACTCATCGGTTATATTTATAGACTTCTCACGAGATTATGTATTATTTCCCAGAGATTCGAACATCTCGCGTTTAACGCAATCCTAGGCAACACGTTAACCGTTTAGCTACAGTGCCGTAAACCGCAAGTGTTTTATTTAAATTCATATAATTCATTGCCATATAAATAAACGTGTGCTTGAATTCAGCCTCGTGAAAAGATAACGAGAAAAGCCCTCTAAATTCAGAGAAAAGTCGGCCTAGTTACCGCACTTAGGAAACGTAGACATTTCAACATGGCCGTATAACAAAAGACGGTAAACAAAAGACGCGGAGCTTTTACATATTAAGGGTGTGTGACAAGACCATTGTTTTAGTACCTTACTCGCGTAAGTATTCTTCGGTTAGAGACAATTCCGTTTCAAGAAAATGGATTTTCATTACGCTTTATTACAATACACCAATGTAGTCACTACTTTGAATGAGATTCACATTTAAATAAAACACTTTAACAGTCTGAACTGCGAAATATATTAGTTAAACTTCAGACCACGGTGCCCCGTGTCTCCCCGTTACCACGGCTGCTACAAAGCAATCGAGCCGTAGTTAAAATAATTTTTAAATGAGTTTTACTAATATATTTCGCGTTATAAACCGTTAAAGTGTTTTATTTATTCCATATATTTATTTATTTAGAGATTCATATTTCAAGTCGGTGTCGGTAGTGGGTTCGAGTCCGTTATTTATGAGTTATTTTGAGTCCGTTAATTCTTTTCTCTATAAAAACTTATTTTCTTTTAATTAAAACACTTTAACGGTTTAAAACGCGATGTATTAGTTAAACTTATTTGGAAATGATGTCTCCCCGTGACCACGGCTGCTGCGGAGCATCCGAAACGTCGGGCCGAAGTTAAAAATCATTTCCAAATAAGTTTAACTAATATATCGCTTTTTAAACCGTTAAAGTGTTTTATTTAAATGTGTACTACTCGCGTAAACTGTAGACAGTATTTAACTTCTTTTCTTTTTTTCGGTTTGGAATTTAGCCTGTTTTGAGGAATATAATATGATTTTCGGCGGTAGTTTCGGTTCGAAATTTTGTCCTTAAAAACACAAGTTGCCTAGAATAAAAGGGATTTACGTTGTAAAGCTATTTCAGTCCCCTGGGTGGTTTGTGGCCAGTCTATCCCCAGTAATGGTTAACCGTAAGGCTGAAACATCGACCGCTTTTGCCGAACGGCGCGCGGTTTTCAGAGCCAATACACATTACATGGTTTGTAATCTTGAATTTTACGAGCCATAGACTCGATAATAAATAAAAAAACTATGATTATAAATTCTCGTTGGTAAGGTATACTGTATGGCAAATAATAAGCGGTCCTTTCCTTACCGGTTATCATATATGTTTTCCGAATGTAGTAATGTCTGGAAATCTGAGAATGGGAAGTAGGAATATGAAAAAAAATTCCACAGGTGAAAAAGCCATCAAGTTTAATCGTGTTTTGTAGTCTTTGGATTTCCGAATATACAAAGCCAAAAAATAGGTCGACAGCGCAACTTGCTTTGATGTTATATGGCTGGGAACCTAGTGTTTGTCTGTCCTCTATCGTAAAAAAAATAACTCTAATGTTTTCCTTTTAAGTTAATAATACTTGTGGTAAACTTAGCTCTTCCATATCAATAAATTAAATTAATTTACCTATAATTGTGATTACACCTTTTAAAAAGATGTGCACACAATGACACACAAACACACATGTGATTTTAATGTGTGTTTGTGTGTATGACTGCAGTTGATGAAATTCAAGTCGTTGTTAAAAACAATAAACATCGTAGTAGGTATGATCTGCCAAAATAACTAATTTCAAATAAACATACAATTTGTGTTAAATCTATCTTATAAAAACTTAGGTAATAGACATAGCTAATACCACTTTGATCCATCTAAAATATTTCAAAGGAACATTTTATCGCGTCATTTTCTACATGAATTTGTAAAGTCCCTAATTATGTAGGTATTATTACTGTTTTATCTCGATTTTATGTTAGACTAGCTGTGTTTGCGGCTGCGTCCGCGTAGAATAGTTGTTTTGGCCATCAAAATTTGTTTTTGCAAACTTCATCTTCAACTTTAAACTGTTACCAACGACGTCGGTCGCGTCCCGTCGTTCTTGCGAGTTAATCTTAAAAGATAGATATAGTGGTCATTTTTGCAGATCATTTAAAGAGGAATCATTCTTTCATACATATTTTATAAGTATCTTCCACATTTCCCGCTGTTTGCAATGCAATGTTTTATATAGCCTATTGCCTTCCTCGATAAATGGTCTAACCAACACAAAAATAATTATTCAATTCGAACCAGTACTTCCTGAGATTAGCGCTTTCAAACAAACAAACAAACTCTTCAGTTTTTTTTGTATAGATTTACATATACGTAATATATATATCTCATACAAATTACGTAATTGGAAGTAAAAGGCACGAAAACACGAAAATAATCTTAGAAAGCTCTCTTTATGATGTCCACGAAAAAGAGGGCAATTAAGAAATGTCTTTGATTCACCTACAAAGACGACGAAAACGAAACTTCAAGAGATTCTGTGAGTAAGTTACCTAATTGGCGTTTTGTACTTTTGCGCTTATTCAAACGAGTGAACATGCTACATAAACACGTTCCTAATTAAAATAAATGTTAGAGTATATATAAAACACTTCCAACGGTTAAAAACGCGTAATACGTAAACTAACTTATTTTAAATTAACTAGGACCTCTAAGATACTATGCAACATGGGCACGGCTTAGACCGCGTTTTAAACAGTTAAAAGCGATTTATTTAAATTTGCACTCCTCGAATAAACAACAAACAATAGACATACAAAATGATATCAATTTTTTTATATCAGATTTAAATATTTCAACGTATAATTGTTCAATTAAGGATTTTCAAGCTTAGATCCACCGTGATGCTTTAGTACGGGTTGGTGGGCTTTAACGAGTACCGCCACTAAATTACTGGTGATAACCGAAACCGGTGGCTTAACGTACTCTACAAGAAACGAACAATATTTGCATATATCTTATGAAAATAACGTTGTACTACAAACTATAGCTTACAGTATATCCTGAACATATAAATGATCGATCGTGGGCATTATTCTGCCAAAGACCACGCAATCAATCACAATTTACAGATTCCCTAAGAATAAATACATTATGTTTACTATCGCTAATGTTATATATATTATACTATATATACTATAAACTATAGTGACTAAAAATGTTTAGGTTTCTACAAAACAAAAAAGAATAAACACAGTTTTCATACAGTACGCCACAAATAAGAATGTACAGTGTCTATGTTTGTAAAAGTAATGTTGCGTTACCCCGTATGTGGTATCGGGCGTGGACACTTCTGTGTCCGTTATATTGATGAATTTTATTTACAGGCATACTTTATTTACAAACAGATTTCTTCGCTGGGCAACTGGTAATTTTATGTCGGTAATCGCTAAAGCCCACCAATCCGTACTGGGGGAGCATGGTGCGTCCTTTAAAACCCTCTCCTATACGAGAGACCGGTGCTCAATAGTGGGATAAAAATAGGTTGAAACACAAACTGTACATGATATTTTTAAACATACTTAACTGAACTAAACCAACAATATAAACGTATAGCTTTGGTCTAAACTTTTTATACAAAACATAGGTTCATGTCAACTTAGCGTAGATATAAATTAAAGTCGCTCAGTCCCCCGTCCCTAACTGGGGTTGCACGCACAAAGCCCCTAAATTAAGCAAGTACCGCTAATTTCAGATTCGTTTGTTTATACCGTGTACAATTTTTAAACACGAAAATGAATACGACTACAAAAATTTCAAAAATAGAATATTTGAATTTCGTTTTTATATTAGACCGGCGACCTGCCCCGGCTTTGCTCGAATGCAATTCTAATACTGAATACACTATAGAAAAACTGAGAACGTTGTATATCAAAACTTTCCTCTTAAATCACTCTATCTATTAAAAAAGACTCGTTTATATTGAATCAACGACGGCAGTCGAGGTATTCGATTCACATGACGTTTTCAGATTGTTGTCTACTTATTAAATGGGTAGTAAGATAAAATACTGTCTATAGTTTACGCGAGTAGTACACATTTAAATAAAACACTTTAACGGTTTAAAACGTCTCCCCGTGACCACGGCTGCTGCAAAGCATCCGAAACGTCGGGCCGAAGTTAAAAATCATTTTCAAATAAGTTTAACTAATATATCGCGTTTTAAACCGTTAAAGTGTTTTATTTAAATGGGTAGTAAGATGTTTTTTAATGATAGAAGAAGCCAAACAAACATGGGGTTTACTCGATGGTAGGTGAAACATCCCAACCTATAGCATCTAAAGAAGATATTCAAGGGGATATTTCAAAATCCACAGACAGAACCCGTAACGTGACCACGACCCGTTGATTACTAACATTATATCAACGAACCCGTTAAAAGATATCAAAATTCCGTCCAAACCATAATAGTAAACGTAGATGGAATAACCGCGATGTGTTTCGGTGTCCGTCTATTTATTTAGACTATCTAAAACCATTATAGGCGACAGCTAATACTAACTAGACGTTATGAAACTCGGACTCACCCGTCTCTCATAAAAAAATCCTAATATAAAAAAGTCTATTTATTATATGTATTATTTGTCAGTCACTAGGAAAATATATTATAAATTGCTTATAATACGACTTACTTGAAACTCGCTTTAACAAGACCCAAACAGAGGTATTTACCTGAAAAGAAAGTGGGAAATTAGATACTTTGTAAATTTGTTATTATAAGAAATTATCACATTATTACAATGATAAAAAATAAAAATTTTAAAAAAAAAAAAAAACCCCCCCCCCAAACAAAGAGAAAAAAAAAAAAAAAAAAGGGGGGGGAAATAATAAAACATATTTGAGAAAAAAATTCTCGATAAACTATAATATGGCGACAAATACACAGCTGTTAAAATTTTGTCACTTGCTAATTATTAAACCGTGATTGAAGAAACACGAATTTTGAACGGTCTAAGCGCCATCTTACGCGAAAATAGGCCGTCCTAAAAACGCAACCTACCTATAGTGTAGGTGGCGCCATCTATCTGAAATGTAGCGCTTTTGCATTTCTTAAAAACCTTTCCGCTGACAAGCTGCCTGGTGGCGCTGCCGTGCGTAGAAGGTTTTGATGCGATTTCCCGCCGCAACGAGGCACTAGTATCGAACTTGTTCCTCAGCTCTTCGAAAGATATATCTCTCGAAATTTCTGAAGATAATTCCGATCTCTGCACTTGCCCGCACACTCGCCCGAGCATTTCGCTCGAATCAGTTTTTTTCTCCATTTTTTCACTCAGTTTTTCACTTCACTTCACATTTGTTTTTTCGATAAACCGCTATCTTAATATAGTTTACATCGTATTACAATAACGTCACTATATAAATTAAAAAATCAATTTCAACTGAAAAAAAATGCAGGCAGGACTTGAACCTGCCTCCTCAACGTTCCGTGCTATTGCTCTAACCAATTGAGCAACAGCATGGAACGCTTGTCCATTTCAAAATCTATTTTTAATTTATATCGTGCAATCATGTGAAAATATAAATGTTTTCAAACGCCACTAGAGTCTTACACTTATTTATTATAGTTAAATAACATTTGCTTAAGAATAAGCAATGTATCTATCAGTTTTGTTATACTATGTTCATGAATTAAAACTTTTGACCGTTTAAAACACAATACGTATTAGTTATTAATATTTTAATTTTGCGAATTAAACAGTATTTCATTTTTAATTTAAATGTCTACTAGTGTCATAATTATTGTATACTTACAATGTGTATGTTACCTGTTTTTTAAATTCTATAATTTTTTTAAAATTAACGATATATTAAAGAATTTTAATATATCGTGATAATGAAATAAATAAAACGAATTCGTGTTAAAAAAGGGTCATGAATCTTTCTATAATTAACCAGCCGAAATAAAATCTGGCGTGAAGTTTGTTTTCATTACCATTGCGTAGACCGTCTTGTGAATAGGTATCAATGAGATTTTTATCAGATCTAGTTTAAGTGTTCGGAGAATGGTAGTGAATTTTCAAATTCAAATTTAAATGTAGGTACATGCATGATAATTATAGAGAAACACAAAAACGCTTTGTACACTAAAATACGCCAATCAATAATGTTACGGAAGTAGCTTAGTTTATTTCAGTAGGAGTAGTTCAACTCAAACTCTTCAGCTTTATATAAAGCTGAAGAGTATGTTTGTTCGTGTGTTTGAAGGCGCTAATCTCAGGAACTACTGGCTCGAATTGATAAATTCCTTTTGCGATGGTTTGAGCATTTATCGAGGAAGGCTATAGTCTAGAAAACATGCTGCGACTAATAGGAGCAAAGAAGCAGCGAGAAATGTGAAAAAACGGGGGAAAATTTTCATCTCTGGGTTTCTGATGCGTTCGCTGCGAAAACGGTTCAAGCTACGCAAAAAATTGTATAAAAGAATAATTCCTTTTCAAATGATCTAAAATGTCCGCGAAACTATATGTCTATCTTCGAAGATTAACTTGCGAGTACGACGGGACCCGAACTACGGGCCGAGAGCGATGGGACGCGTTCGATGTCGATGTCGGATAACAGTTTAAAAATTATAAAGATGAAGTGGAGGTCTGCAAAAACAAATTTGGATGCCCTAAATAACCATTCTTCGCGGACGAAGTCGCTGGCACAGCTAGTTGTTTATAATTAAAGAACTATTTCTTTATAAATTATTAGTAGTAACGATTCGAAACAGTTTTTGAAAATTCCCGCTGTATAAGATACCCAACTAAATGCTAGTTTTGAGATAACGCAGTTCCCTCGTAATCTTGTTAAGGAATTAATTACATAGAAAAACCCTAACATGACCGACGAAGGGAAGGTTTTAATCAGCACTAAGCAAGTAAGTTTCTGTTAACTTTGCGAGGATTAGTTACGACGATGGGCGAAGGTCGGTCTTTTTAGCCTTCAATAAAACTTTGCCAAAGTTCCAAATTTAGCAACGAAATTGTATTGAATCTGAATCATTATAATTTTTATATATTAATGCACATGTAATCATTTACACGGTTTTAACATTAGTGCCATCGGTATAGTACAGCACTCAGAAAGCAGCGGGTTCGAGTTCCATCCCTGTCATATATATTTTTTTATAAAATATTGGAAAAGCTTAATATTTTTCACATATTATTTCCGGTGACTGCATTATATAAATAAAAGATCTATTAAGATTGGAAATGCCCTGAACTGGTTACAAGAATTATAAAAATCAATTTTATTATACTTTAATGGTCGACGGTGAGCAAGAAATGACGTTCGCACTGTATCAAGCAAATCTCTTTATTTGTAAACAAGATTTAACATAAAACTATTATTTAAATAAAACATTTTAACGGTTTAAAACGCGGTTTAAAGTGTTTTATTTAATAAAACTATTATTATCTTTTCTCGAAGTCGGTCTTGCACTGCTTTGTTTTTGAGGAATTTGTATTTCGTATCCATACATTTTATATTAATCGCCAAAAATGTGCAAGAGATGTTAACAAACGCGTGTAAACGTAGTCAGTGTAAAATTGTGAAAGGGTAGCCATTTCATCCCGATTCATGCGCAATTCCAGCGAGTTTATTTAATTGTGTTTTACACAATAGAACTGCATCCATTGTAGGGAAAATTGAACAATTTGTACTAACGCCAGGAAAGGAATAATATTTTAGTCTTTGTTTACATTTATCATCTAAAATATGGCAACATTTCAATTTTGTTATACGACCATTTCAAAGTTTAATCTTTAACGTAATTACTTTTTATTCCTAATAGTTACTTAAATTAATACACACTTATTGTTAACTTCAGTTACACTTTATTATAATAAATATTTGTTAGTTTATATAAATTTGGTAGTTCGATTTTTAAAATCGGCCTTCAAAAGAGACTCGTATTAAAATACGAAAACGTCAAATGTGCACAAACCTAGATAATTATTAAACTTGTTGTAGATTAGTGGTGAATGTACTCGAATACAGTTCCCGAGGTTCCGGGTTCCTGGATGGGAAAAAACGTAGCTTCAGTATATCTCTAAAGTTAATTGTCTTGAGGTAATTATTATACTTTACTTAGCCAAGATAAATATCTATGTTTCTTAGTAAATAAGACCTTCCCAATATTCGTTTCTAAGGGCTAGCCGGTTATAAAGGATTGTAATACTGTAATTGAACTCTGTAATTAGGACGAGCCTGTGGCGTGTGAAGTCGTTTTTACGACGTCTTACCTCAGGACAGAAGCCATTATTTTGTATTAGGTTTACAGTAATAGGCTGTAACTCTTGTCTGTGGCTCTTGTGAACGTGCAGTTAGTAGTTTTTACGATGGTACATAAATAAGTATTTATTGTATACAGTATTTATGGGTTATGGTCCAAAATTCGGTTAAATTTCGGTTACTTGAACCGAATTTTGAAGACCCAGTTGGGTGATATATTTTTTCACCTTTCAAACAATTACGCATAATTTTATTTATTACTTAGGTATATATAATGTAATTGATATACAGTCCTGGTTAGTTATGATCTCGTACTCTGAGTAAGTGTAACCTAATATTATATAATTAAAACACTTTTAACGGTTTAAATCGAAAACATGAATTAGTTAAACTTTACAAATTATTTTTACAATTCCACGACGTTTGGAATGTTTTGCAGTAACCGCGGTTACGTTAAACGTGTTTAACTTAACTGCGATCATAATTAATTCGTTTTAAACCATTAAATGTGTTTTATTTCAATGTGTATTACTCGCATAAACTATAAACAGTCTTTAATTACTATTTTAGAAATTAACATAAACAGTGTAAACTAATATGAAACGAAATTCGGTTTCGGATAACACCACATCCGTTACGTCCCTAAATGTTTGCGAGAAACATAAATACATTCAAGTTACATGGAAAAAGTTATAAATTTGAATAAGCTACGCCGAACAAAGAAAAGTCAGTACCCGCACAAGTGGCATTTCATGAAACCTTTGCGGGATTCAAGTTTCCTGAACCAATTAAACTAGCCTTTGTGCTTCAGACTGCAGTGTATAAATTTATATTCTGTGAAAACTAAGCCGCTCAATAAGTTGCTTCGGAGACTCTCATTATAGAGGTTAGTGATAAACAAGCCTGCGTTACGTTACGTTACGATTATCTAAAATATGTCTTTAACATTATTCATTCTGATTATCACGTTCAGATCACAGGATCTTTGTTTGCGGGTGATTCAAAAGAGGACATGTTATGCCATTACCGGGTGACTATCATAACTTTAGTGGCATTTTCTTAAGATATAAGAGGACAGACAATGGGACATGGGACATGGGGTCACTTGATGGTGGGGAAAATACCCCAGTCATATAACATCTAATCAAGATGCACTATCGATCTATTTTAGATTTGGATATTCGTAACACCACAGACTAAAACCGAAGCGCGATTAGAGTTGACGGCTTTGTCATCTACGGAAGGTATTACTAGACGAAGTTCAATATGTATCAGAAAAATTATAGGTTAATTAGAAAAATACAGGATACGATGTGGACCGAAACGATCCGTTGATTATTAGCCATACATTCCTATCATTACACCAAAGAGCCCGTCATTGTGTAATGATAGAAATTATCAACAGTGAGTAATGGAGAAGAGTGGTGGATCTAAGGTCAACATTTTTAATTTTAAGTGAAGTATCAATGCCATTATGGTCCTGTTATATTAGCATTTAGTTTATTATATTTTAATATTCAGAAGATGTATGTAAATGCATATTCAATTCTTATGTAAGAATTGTGTATCTTCTTTACGCTTCCAATCAGAATACGATGCGACTGTTCGCGGCCTAAATAGCGTAGCTTTTGCGTGACTAAAACTATTCAGCAAGTTAGTAGTGTTTCTTGGATTATCTCTTACTTATTCCGACATGGATCCACGATAACTCCAGTTAAGAACTTAAATTATAACTTGTTTACAGTCTGCAGTTCATGCAATGTTGAAGCATTTGGGTAAATTTGTTTTCATTGCAATCCGTTCTAACGATTGTTTTAAGTAAAAATTATAAACAATTATATAGTAAGTATATTTATAAAAAAGGTAAATCAAAGCAGACACGTACATATATAAAACCGGAGTAAAATTAAAGAAGAAAAAGTCAGAAATAGAAGCAAAGAGAAAATAAACACAGAAAATATAATAAGATTAAGATACTTTAATATACACCAAAAGATACATACATAAGGAGAAGATACATACAATTGAAATATTTGCACTATAGACG